ATGACTTAGATTTTTTTACATGGCTATCTCGAGCACATTATCGCTTTGATTTCATTTTTCTATTATTGATATTTTTTAACAAATTCGTTATTATTAATAATAATAAGAATCCCTTTTTGTATTAATATTTATTAGCATTATTACAATCCCTCTGTGTATCGAGGTATTTGTATATTAATATTTATATATTTATTTCTAGTACATTATCTCTTTGATATAATATTTGTAAGGAATAATAATAATAAATAAATAAAATAATAATACAAAATATCCTTTAAAAAAATTAATTATGTGATTTTTATAATGCAGAAATATCCACTTGTAAAATCTTATCTTATAGTGAACATTTGATTTGTGTCAGTAAAGGCTAAGCTGAGGTGTTTTGTCATTAAAATAGGTCACATTTAAATTAAAACCATACATTACATTTTACTTGTTAGACGCTTTTATCCAAAGCGACTTACATACTCAATTCTGTGGACAATCCCCACAGGAGCACGTTGGGGTGAAGTGTCTTGCCCAGGGACACGACGACATGCTGACTGCAGTGGGGTTTGAACCTGTGCTCCCCTGATCCGAACACCAACGCACCATCCACTGCGCCACACACACCTCCCATACCATATGATGAGTTTGAAGACAGAGTGTTTCTTTGTACTACCTGCTGATATTTCCTGATTTCCTTCTGGGAGCGTATGGTGCTGAACTCCTCTCTCTTCAGATTGGATTTCCTGAGATCCCGCTCCGTCATCCACAGATGGAAAATCCCCACGCAGTTCACACACATAAACAGAAACGCATTCGCCACCAGCTGCGAGAAGAGAAAAGGAGATTATTTACACTTGACTAATTATCCAGCGGAAACAATATTGTCAATCAATCACTGACAGAGAGTTGGAAAAACAAAAACATTATATTATATATCCAGAACATGTCTCTGAAGTGTTTGGCTCCAAACACCAAACAGATCATTGCAGCATCCCATAATCCCCTCTGTTTCAGCCCTGTTTCAAAAGTGCTGATTCTCTGGGTGTTTCTCAATGTCGAGGACGCTTCCTTGGTAGGACATGTCTTCCGAGTCAGGTCCTTCAGAAGCGAGGCAAGAATCCTTCCTAGCCTCGGAAAACGAAGAATGGTCGGAACAGGCTAACAGGTGTGCCGGTGTGCGTCATATGCGAGGCCCCGCCTTACATTTTCCACCAAAGATTTTGGAAATTGGTCCGTGCGCAAAGCATTGTGGGGATTTTAAGACCGCGGAGGATACACATGTGCAGCCTCGAAATTTCCCGCAACGAAGGACGCCGGCCTCGGTAGGATTCCAAGGATCCTGGACATTGGAACAGTCTTTCGGTGGGACTCGATGACGTAGCATCCTTGAAATAGTGGCTCTGGAGGATCCTTCCTCGACATTGAGAAACACCCTCTGTCTGTTACTTTAGATGAAAATAAGGAGCCCCTCCCCACGCCCCTCTGAGAGAGATTTGGTTCAAAAGAACACAATGGTGCTCTAGGAGGAGATTCAGGTGATAAGGTGGGGGGGGGGGGGGGGGGGGGTGGTTACCTTGGTTGCTGATTGGCTAATGGTTACACAAGCCAACACATCGTTATGACATCATAAAGTGGCCAAAATGATGTAGAAGAGACATGGAGAAGTGGATTTTGCATAATAAGTGACGTTTAACAAAGTAGAGAGTGATGCAGATCATTTGCATCTTTCCAGGAAACTGTAACACCTGCTGTTCACACACATTCCCCACAAGTGTGATTTGAATAAGGATGCTATTTTCTGGCACATGCGAAAGATGCTTATCTCTTTAGATGGCCGAGTCATTTGTTCATATTTGTCTACATTTACACATGTACTTTAACATGTACATGTGTTTTTTTAACCTTCACACTTTGTATGAAGGTAGATATGGTGCAAAATGCGAGAGTGCTGATATGAGCACTTGCAGAAGAAAAATCTGAGCTTGTGTGCATACATTTACACTTGTATAAAATATCCACGTATCTGTGAACCACATTTGAAGTCACAGAAGAAAAAAAAAAGTTTTGTAGCTTGTAGGAAAAAAAATGAACTTAGTGATGAAATGTTCACTTGCAGAAAAATATATATTTTTAAAATATATTTTCCATTACAACTGCAACTTGGTTATTACCACCTCTCAAATCAGTCATTACAACTTCACGAATCTGCTCTGTGGCAGTATAAATCGACGAATCTGCGGCCTTGACTTTTGCTACACTTCTTGCGATGAATGTGTCGCTCAAGTAATTTTCACCTATAGATGTGGGGGGAGGGAGGGGGGTTGGAGCGAAGGGGCGGAGCTATCAGAACGACAAGGCGCAAGCTCGGGTCAGTCACACACAAGTGACGACTGTTGCCCCTTTCACACCAACGCAGCTTTTATTATATAATAATAAAGCACTGGTTCTTACTATCATAATGGTTCAGGTATTATGCGATCATTTTATTAATTTATTCGTTTATTTGGCAGCGACATTAATGAACACTTAAACCATGAAATATGCCAAGTGTAAATATGCCGGATTTAGCTTTGAGCTACTTTCCATCCGCAGTCCCTCACATAAATGTATGTTAAGTTCAAAAATAAATAATAATGTTTACCTGCACAGCCAGGTCGGGTGTCTTTGGGTTGGTGATGGGGACGTAGACGCTGATGATGACGATGTGCGAGACGCTCGTCCAGATCCCAACCATGAGGGCCCAGGCCATGGAGAGAGGAAGCACCGTGTACACGCTCAGAGAGAGGAAGAGGAAGAACGCCACCTGAGGAGTTAGGGAAAGATGCACAGAGTTACTGAACAGCTAAAGAATATATAATATGGGATGGTGTTCATCAGGGGTGTCAAACTCAATTTCATCGCGGGCCACATTCGCATAAAGGTTGCACTCAAAGGGCCGGTTGTAACTATATAAATATATAATATATACATAATATATTATATTACATTATTGCCTCTGAATTGGATTATTATCGGATAGGATAATAACTTAGTAATTAACTACGTCTGAAAGCAGAAGTCCAGGGCAAATAATTGCAAGTCTCTTCAGTGAGCATGTCACAAAACGAGATGCATTGTGGGACATGTAGTTTATGGGCAACCTGCTTCTGTAAAGTGGCATGTAACCGTATAATAAACGTATTATATTCTTTGCAAGCTCTTTTGCGGGGCCACATAAAATGAAGTCGCGGGCCGGATTTGGCCCCCGGGCCTTGAGTTTGAGACCCCATGGTACTATCAGAGAAGTTAAGATATGAATTTCACCTGTCTCTCCTTTTACCTTATGGACTGTGAATCGTCAAAAAGTGACCAAAATCTTTTAAAGATCTTCATGACAGTGAGTTAAAAAGGCCGTAAAAAGGCAAGGGGCTCTGTAAGGAACCTCCCACTATCGACCAATGGGTACATTCAATTTATGGAACGTATGTCGTTCATTTTAAGACAAAATGGGGCATATAACTCACACAAAAGGGGTGACAACCTTTCTTGAATTTGATGTATTGATATATTGCCTTTATATTCTCTGATGGCCTACTCGTGATCCCTTGGTTGTAGCTGTGTTTGTTTTGAGTTACTAAGTATTTGATGTCTCTTTATCCGCCTTTTGTCCTGAAGTGTCCTTTCTACTGATGTACTAAACCTCATTATTTCTTTCTGTGTTTCCTTCTCACCTGTTCCCACGCAGTGACGGGTCCTCCAGTGAAGATGAAGACGATGGCGGTGACGTACAGCGTCCCCCAGACGAAGAGCGCCAGCGCCCCCCCGCAGCGCCGCACCGTGGCCAGCCAGGGCAGACAGACGAGCAGGAAGAAGCTCACACACAGAACCACACACAACACTGACAGCGCACCCACGTGACGAAAGATGTTCTGTGGAGGGATGGGCGAACGATTAAAAACATGTTATCATTCACGTTGTTTAAGACACTTAACTGTCATGGATGTTGTGTAGTAGGCAGAGTTAAAGGTCCCCTATCATACTGTTTTTTATCAATATATTATAGGTCTCAGATATATACAGAGCCTGTCTCTGATTGGCTGAAACATCAAACAGATCATTGCAGCATTACCCATAATCCCCTCTGTTTCAGCCCTGTTTCCAAAGTGTTGATTCTCTGTCTGTTACTTTAGATGAAAATAAGGAGCCCCTCCCCACGCCCCTCTGAGAGAGATTTGGTTACAAAGAACACAATGGTGCTCTAGGAGGAGATTCAGGTGATAAGGTGGGGGGGGGGTTACCTTGGTTGGTGATTGGCTAATGGTTACACAAGACAAAAAAACGTGATGACATCATAAAGTGGCCAAAATCTGATCAGCTCATTTTCAGACAGGTTTTTATAGAAATGGATCAGGACAAAAAAAGAGAGAATCTTTGTTCCTGAAACTTTCAGAATCTCTTTCCACAGAGGGGACACATGTTGATGTAGAAGAGACATGAAGAAGAGGGGACACATGTTGATGTAGAAGAGACATGAAGAAGAGGGGACACATGGTGATGTAGAAGAGACATGAAGAAGAGGGGACACATGTTGATGTAGAAGAGACATGAAGAAGAGGGGACACACGTTGATGTAGAAGAGACATGAAGAAGAGGGGACACATGTTGATGTAGAAGAGACATGAAGAAGAGGGGACACATGTTGATGTAGAAGAGACATGGAGAAGAGGGGACACATGTTGATGTAGAAGAGACATGAAGAAGAGGGGACACATGTTGATGAAGAAGAGACATGGAGAAGAGGGGACACATGTTGATGTAGAAGAGACATGAAGAAGAGGGGACACATGTTGATGTAGAAGAGACATGAAGAAGAGGGGACACATGTTGATGTAGAAGAGACATGAAGAAGATGGGACACATGTTGATGTAGAAGAGACATGAAGAAGAGGGGACACATGTTGATGTAGAAGAGACATGAAGAAGAGGGGACACATGTTGATGTAGAAGAGACATGAAGAAGAGGGGACACATGTTGATGTAGAAGAGACATGGAGAAGTGGATTTTGCATAATACTGTAGGTAACCTTTAAGAACTGTAAATTGTAAATACAGGTAAAGCAAGTTCATAGCAGGGATTACAATGATGGTTTTTAGAGATCATTAACATGTTTCCAGGGTTTAGGATCATCTAGTACAATAGACGCCAAAATGATAAATCTGCACGTAGAGAGTTTTCCTTACGCTTTTTAAATTAAGGTAAACCTGCTTCCCCTTATGTAAACATACAGTCTATGTCAGGAAGTTGCTACTTAATTTAACCAACCAGAAACTTGACACCTTAATTTGTCAAATCTAGTATTAATTAAAACATCTTTGGGTTAAAAGTTGGACTTGGTGATGTAGAGAAGACATGAAAAAGTGGATTTTGCATTATAGGTGACCTTTAAGACACTTAACTGTCACATATGTTGTGTAGTGAGCAGTGTCAAAGGGGTCTCAGTCTGCTTTTTGGGCTTTTCCCTTTCCTGTAGTGTGTTATATAGGTTTTTTCCCGCATGTAAATGGTCTGCAAAGGCTCCTTTGTTTACTTCTGCAACAATGTGACATCACTATGTAATGATTCCCCTTCTATTGGCTAACGCTCCAACACATTTTACGTGATAGGCTAAGGGGCGGGACATCTCTAAGCGGTTGACCAATCGCAACAGAGCCGGCCAGCTAACCAATCAGAGCAGACTGGGCTCTGGTTTCAGACAGAGGGTGAAAAGAGGTGCTGGAGCACAGGCAGTATGAGAAAAATAAAGAGCTTTCTGAACATTAAAGCATGGAGACATGTAGAGACACTACATACTGATATACACCTGAACATCAGCAGGAGAGGACTCTTTAAAGTAGAGACACTACATACTGATATACACCTGAACATCAGCAGGAGAGGACTCTTTAAAGTAGAGACACTACATACTGATATACACCTGAACATCAGCAGGAGAGGACTCTTTAAAGTAGAGACACTACATACTGATATACACCTGAACATCAGCAGGAGAGGACTCTTTAAAGAAGAGACACTACATACTGATATACACCTGAACATCAGCAGGAGAGGACTCTTTAAAGTAGAGACACTACATACTGATATACACCTGAACATCAGCAGGAGAGGACTCTTTAAAGTAGAGACACTACATACTGATATACACCTGAACATCAGCAGGAGAGGACTCTTTAAAGTAGAGACACTACATACTGATATACACCTGAACATCAGCAGGAGAGGACTCTTTAAAGTAGAGACACTACATACTGATATACACCTGATCATCAGCAGGAGAGGACTCTTTAAAGTAGAGACACTACATACTGATATACACCTGAACATCAGCAGGAGAGGACTCTTTAAAGTAGAGACACTACATACTGATATACACCTGAACATCAGCAGGAGAGGACTCTTTAAAGTAGAGACACTACATACTGATATACACCTGAACATCAGCAGGAGAGGACTCTTTAAAGTAGAGACACTACATACTGATATACACCTGAACATCAGCAGGAGAGGACTCTTTAAAGTAGAGACACTACATACTGATATACACCTGAACATCAGCAGGAGAGGACTCTTTAAAGTAGAGACACTACATACTGATATACACCTGAACATCATCAGGAGAGGACTCTTTAAAGTAGAGACACTACATACTGATATACACCTGAACATCAGCAGGAGAGAACTCTTTAAAGTAGAGACACTACATACTGATATACACCTGAACATCATCAGGAGAGGACTCTTTAAAGTAGAGACACTACATACTGATATACACCTGAACATCATCAGGAGAGGACTCTTTAAAGTAGAGACACTACATACTGATATACACCTGAACATCAGCAGGAGAGGACTCTTTAAAGTAGAGACACTACATACTGATATACACCTGAACATCAGCAGGAGAGGACTCTTTAAAGTAGAGACACTACATACTGATATACACCTGAACATCAGCAGGAGAGGACTCTTTAAAGTAGAGACACTACATACTGATATACACCTGAACATCAGCAGGAGAGGACTCTTTAAAGTAGAGACACTACATACTGATATACACCTGAACATCAGCAGGAGAGGACTCTTTAAAGTAGAGACACTACATACTGATATACACCTGAACATCAGCAGGAGAGGACTCTTTAAAGTAGAGACACTACATACTGATATACACCTGAACACCAGCAGGAGAGGACTCTTTAAAGTAGAGACACTACATACTGATATACACCTGAACATCAGCAGGAGAGGACTCTTTAAAGTAGAGACACTACATACTGATATGAACCTGGACATGATACGTCTCTTTATAGCAGATACAAACAGATAAAACAGGAGCATTTTATGTTAATATATATTTCTAAATACCTTCCCATTTCGACTCAGGTGTCTACTATATCCAAAAAGCCTAAAATGCCTTTAATCATCAGACATGAAAGTCAGGCTGAGCTTTAAACAGCTGGTGCAATGCCTTTTAATGTAATCCTGCCATGAGTTTTTTATTTTGTACCCCTAGGGAATTAACATTGTTGATATTGATGTCAACTTACTTTTTCAAAGCCTTTTAATGCAGTGGACGATTAACAAATTCAAGTTCAGCTCAGGTCGTGTCCACTGATTCATGGAAGCCATAAAATGTTGAAGAAAGAGCTCAAAAATTAATCTGTTAAATACATTGAATAATTCCTGAAAACAACGGCTGTATTATGAGGCCAACAATGTGTTTTCAGTGCCTTTTACTTCCTTTAATAATTGAGGCTTAAGAATGCTGTGGTGTTTTTGGAAGAACAGGTTTATTGATCTATTTCCTTGAAGTTGGCTTTGTTTCTCTTGTGAGGTCACTCTCTAAACTGTTTTTAATATCCTCCTTTACTTGGTCTTCCTTGTCTTCCGAGTAGGTCAAACTTAACTGTCTCTAACAACACTGAACTGTGACCTAAAAGTAGGGCTGTGCAATTAATCGTATTTTAATCTCGATTACGATTTTGGCTTGCAACGATTACGAAAACAACGTAATCGAAATAAAACGATTATTATTTTTATTAAAAAAAAAAAAAAAAAAAATGTAATTATTTTTTTTTAGTGGTTTTTCAGTTGAATTATACTTAAAGTTCAGGGTAATCAACTGTTAAAAATATACTGTTCCAATTTTTTTTTTCAATAAATAGATGTTTTCAAAGTAAATGGATAATCGTTTTTAATAATCGTGATATCAATTATTGACCAAAATAATCGTGATTATGATTTTTGCCATAATCGCACAGCCCTACCTAAAAGTGTGCAAAATATTAGCCTTAAACCCCAGAAATGTAGACTGATGAAATACATGTATGTTATGTTTATTGACAGTGGTCAGGGTTAGAGAAGGGATTTTGGTTAAAGTGGGGTATGTTTTTGGCTTCTAATGTTTCTGTATAATACATGAAATCTCTCACTTCTACATGTATTAATGATATATAATGTAAATATGTTATGTTATTTTGTGGGCCCCTATTGTCTAGTTTCCTATAGCTTATCAGGGTGTCTCCATTATGTCTTATGATTGTATCAAGTGGATTTGTATGCAAAATAATATTGAATAAATGCAATAAATTCTCCTGATTTGAGTTCTCCAGAGTGAGGACTTCTTGCTTTTCTTTCATATATAAAAAAAATTTAAAAAAAAACCTTTTGGTCAAAAAAATTTAGGACAAATTAACACATTTAAAGACATCATTATGAATGATTGTTTAGGGGCTTTAAAATAACTTAAAGTGGCAATAGACAAGAGTGTTGCTTTAATCTATTATTAAAAAGTAATGTAACGACATGATCTGAGTTTTGGCATCTAGATAAGTAGACTTTTCTGGGACTTTTTAAATAACTTAAAGTAGCAATATACAAGATGTTGGCCCCATCTGAGTTTAGATTGGTCCCCAAGCCCAATGATAATAATAATAATAGGTTAACAATGAGAAGGGGAGGGTTTCAATGTAAACTGTTGTTATATTGCAAATGTCTACTACTCCCTGTAACTGTTGAAATGTCCTCAACTGTCTTCTACTGTAAATAAAAGTAATAATAATAACAGATTACATTTGTATAGCGCCTTTCAAGGGACCCAAGGCCGCTTTACATGGTGAACACACACACAAACTAACAAAAGGGGCAAATAATAAAGTAAAAATGTAATAAATAGCAGTAGGAGTGGAAGCAGGGGGAATGTGATGGGTTAGGGGTCACACACACACACACACACACACACACACACACACACACACACACACACACACACACACACACACACACACACACACACACACACACACACACACACACACACACACACACACACACACACACACACACACACACACACACACACACACACACACAGTCTCACCCTTCCTGTGGTGGGGATCAGGACGATGAGGGCGACGCAGAAAGCCAAGGACAGCACCAGACCGGTCAGCATGGCGGGAGTTTCCTCCACACACTGCAGGAAGGCCCTGTGAAACACCTGATAGCAGCAGCACACCCCCTCCTTCACACTCTGCCTCGACCGGGTGCTTTTCTTGTCTTCTCCTATGTCCTCGTCGTCCCACCTGACGTCGATGCTGTCCCGTGTTTGTGGGAGTTTGAATGGCGTTGTTGGTGAACTGCCACTCAAAGAAGAGTCTGTTTTAAGAACGCCTCGATCATCATCCGGACTTTTTTTGCTGTTTTTAAAACTGTGTGCGGAGATTTTGACAGGAGAGATTTGATTTGTCTTTTTGAATCCATCGAGCTCCGATATCTCTTCGCCAAAGTTAGATTTTGTGCCTTTTTCTACGGCTTGTAGCCTATCAGAGGAAGAGTTAACCAGGTTAGCATGATCTGTTGTTGTTGCTCCCTTCATCAAAGACTCCAGAGGTTCAGGGCTCTGCACTTTTTTAGCCACACCGACCTCTACGGAAACAGGAGATTTGCTTTTATTTAACGCGCCGTCATTCCCTTCATTTCCTTTCAAAGTGTCACTGCTTAATCCGTCTTTTGTTTTACTGAAGTCGTCCAGCTCCATGATGTTACCTCCGGTGTTTTTCCCCTCTCCATCGATAGACTTTACCACAACGTCCGGCACTAAAGCCACTTTTGGTGCTTCGTCTTCTCCAGTTCTCCTCTTGTCCGTAAAACCTTGCGACTCGTCTGGCATCGTGACCTGTGTGAGTGAGAGGGATCTCCTCGTCTAGCGCCTTGTCACTTTACTTTTTCTTGCTGTCTGTCTCTGTCTACATGATAAAAACACACGAGGATAGCGACTTCTTTCGTTTTTCACCTGTCAGCTGCTGTTTATGTCCGTGCAGAAGGGAGAGCGTTCACCTTTGACTGCATGTCAGATGAAATGAATTAGAACAAAACAAAAATCTGGGATTTTTTTTTACACCAAATCCTTCTTTGACGATCACTGAAGCATACTGGATGAAATCGCTGCCCAAAAAAAGACATAAACAATAAGAAAGGTTAAAACACAATAACAAACATAATCATTCAGAGATTAGCTGAATTATTTTGTACCTGTGTCCCTAGCAAAGTCCACTAATGAGAGCAGGGAAGTCCTGCTCATTGTTTTCATGCCATTATAATGAGACACTTCTTCTAGTCATTTCCCCATTATGCAAAAAAAACTTGTTCTTCTAGCTACAAATTCTTCCACTGCAACACACACACACACACACACACACACAACACACGTATACACACTTCCAGGTGTGTAAAGGAATTAAGTTTCAGCGACGCACCCAGCTCACATTAAAAAACATTTTTTCCCAGTAACCTCCACCTACATTCAGTCGCTTCTTCCCCATCATGTGACTGCACAGATTACCTTTGTCAGCTCCAATGTCACCATCAATTTCAGGATTTAAAATGTTTAATCTTCTGCTACAGGTATATCTGATTTAATAGCGAAGAGAGGGATTAAACAGTATCTGATTAATAATGTTACCTAAATTGACCTGCGGTGAGTGTTAAAAACCTCGTGCTTTGTCCTTTACATTACATCAATATGGCTTCTTTGTTGACTTTTACAAAAGGGTGTACTGTGTGTCTTTTTTTTTTAAGTCTGACACACTTTAAACTCTGGCACTGTGTGGTAATGACAGTGCATTTTTTGTTGTCCACTGGAGTCCCTTTTCCCTGTTCTAAAGAATAAAGAAAGAGGGGTTTTCCGAAACTTACTCAGATGTTTTTGGCTTTAAAATCAAACCATGGAAATGTTATATTTTCACTTTATTCAGTGTCTTCCAAGTTCGGATGAAGTTAGACACCGTTAATTTGACTTACAGTCACTTTTAGAGAACTAACAATAGAAAATAAAGACAGTTATTGAAGATTATTATGTTGTATTTTAACCTATGGATGCAATTTTACCAACTTAATAGATACACTCAATCCATAAGCCTTGTTGTTTTGATATAAAATGCCTATCGTAAGACCTCCAATTGCTTGTTTGAAACCCCCCACAGATATTTCCATTATCATATCAGACAGCAAACAGCAGAAAAAATAAAAATAGAAATGTGTGTAAGTGGACCAATATAATCTGTCCAACCACACCATTCACAAATACAAAGCTGCATATTGAATGTTTTATTGTTGAATTACCAAAGGAGTATTATGGCAAAATATGTTATCACAAATAAGCGAAAAGTGACTGACAGTGTTAACAAAGCTATCTTTCAATTTAACTTGCCTTATCTTTGGTTTAACTTGGCAGCAGGTGTAAGCTTTCAATAAAGTCATTTATAATAATTCAATATCATGTAAAAATAATCAGCTAGTTAGTTATCATTGGTTCTAATAAATGCACGTCCTCCTCTCTCGTCATTAAAAACTCATTTAATTATCAAAAAGGACTACAAACTAGAGATTCAATTGATTTTCTGTTCTGAAAAGGTGACTTTTTATTATTGGAAGCCAATTTCTGGCAATTCTTTTGAAATACTAAGCCATTATTTTGAGAAAGGTTTTCAGTAAAATTACTTACAGGATATTTTGAAGCATACAATTGGCAGAAATGTGCTTCCATACATAATTGCGGCTATTTTTCATGGCATACTATTAGGAACAGTTAACAATTTCCTTTAATAGTTCACTTAGTAGGCTCTATTATCGGTTCAGTAACTTATTTCACGTTAATAAAGGCTCACTGTGTGACAGGACAAAACAGAAACACCGGGTTTGATCATTAACATGAGAGCTGAAGCACAGAAATGTAAGGAAATAAACCAAATCATATTCTTACCTCATCGTTTATTAATGTTCTCGTCGCTGTTTCCCTTTAACTTCAACGAGATAAAGTAAATTTCCCTTTGTGTTTTTAATCGCCCAGCTCTTAAATACACTTTGGGCGTTTACATCCGGGTAAATATGTCGAAATGATCCCGTAAAAACAGTCTTTTCTTCCAAAAAAAACAGACGTTAGAAAGTCTGCGTCTGGCTCTGGGCGCGAGCGAGTCTGTGTGAGGTGGTTGGAGCGCGAGGCAGGTGAATGCGGGGGCGTGCACGCGAGAGCTCTGGTCCTCCTATTCAAATATGAAGAGGTAAACAGAGATGGAGAGGAAGGTCAAAGGGCACACTGTCTGCAGGTGTTTTGTCTTAAAACGAAGTACACACTTAAAAAGACACTTGAGGTGGATTTAAGGCTTAGCTTGTTTGAACTAGTCTTAGGAATCAAAAGGTTGTTGGTTCGAGTCCCACAACAGACCAGGAGGGCTGCATGCAGAGGCTAAATGTCACTTTATTTGCAGTGTTGCTTTAAAGGGGCTCTATAATGCTCATGTTCAGGTTCATATTGGCATTTTGTGTCTCTACTGTGACAACAAAATGACCAAAAAAACTTAGAACGGTATTTGTATTACATCAAATGAAAAAAGAGAAACAGTAAACGACACACTATTGGAAAACCTTCAAGGCAAACATAATATATCATCCTCTCTGAGTTTATCTCTCCTCTGTGTACCCCTGTGCGTCTTTTTCATTCAAATCAAACATGTTTATTGGTGTAGTAATATGTCCCTATATTGCCAAACAACTTATTTTACAACATCTGCAAACACACACACACACACACACACACACACACACACACACACACACACACACACACACACACACACACACTGTAGTCACGATGGTGCAGCTGCAGGGTTCAGTGCCAAGTATAACAGGGATACATTTACTCAAGAAGAAAACTTAAGAATAATTTGAAGGTGATTGTCCTTTACTTGACTATTTTCATTTATTACATACTTCAACTCCACTGCATTTCAGAGGGAAATAGTGTAGAGGATAAGACTTAATTGATCATGAAGGGTACATTCAGATGTATATCAGTATTTATAAAACGGACAAGTCAAATCAAGCAATCTGATTGGTTCTTACCCGTGATATAATGAGCGTATATCACGGGTAGAATTGTATTATACTTTTCACAACAAGTCAGTATCCCTCCGCCTCCGCGTCTGAGAAAAGCTACAACCGTTACAACTGTTACATTACGTCCGTTACGAAACTAACTAACTAACAAAGCTTAAGATGGAAACATGTAAGGGATAATGTGCAGCAAGGACTTATTGACCGTTGTTAAAGGACGCTCACATCTGCAGAAAGAAGTCCGGTCGATTTAACTGTATACAGTTGGGCTGAAAAGCAAACTGCCTGTCGTGAGCTATTGCTTTGAAAGTAAGCAGTAGTACATACAAGTTATAAAAAACGATCTCCACCATTTAAGTGTTACATAAGTGACACATACATTGACGTAATTATAATTCAATATGGAGTATATTATTCTGAAATCGGCCATACAGTAATTACAACATTTACTTTATTTGTTATGCTTGTACTTTGGATTTTGATATATTTAATGCAGGATGTTTACTTGTATTTCTTCACTGCAGTATTGCTTTTTGTTCTTAAGTGAATATCTGATAACTTTTTCTACTACTTGGAATCCGGATAGATCCTAAACAAATAAATACCAGCAAGATACGGACAGTTAAATGTGCACAAAGGCAACAGGAAATCAAACAGCTAAATAAAGAGTCAAATTTATTAGAAGAATATGGTGCCAGGAAATACGCGGGAATGCTACAGGCCACGCTTTCTCGTCATCTATTTATCCGCCTCTATAACCTATAATATGCTCCGTAAACATTATTTTAACCAATATCTGGTTACAATAAGTAGTTCATTTGAAGTTAAGTTGAGAAAAGTACAGTCTACAAGACCACTAAGAGACAGAAAATGAGAAAACCGGCACAAAACGAGGCTTAACAACTCTGCATTTTGAGTGTCCTCTCATGTGTTTCCCCAGAGGCCAATAGTCTTATGATTCGTCAAAGCCTTCCTGTACTTTTCTGTTGTTGTTAAATACGCAAATCAATTAGTTACAAAGCCACAAAATACCTACAGCCACCACTCACTCACTCACTGAATGTATGTCACTCTATTTTAAAATATCTGCCGAGGTGAATTTAGGCGTCGGAGGGCAAGTCCATTGAGTCGAAGCCTGGAGACAATTCTCAGGTTGTTCCCAAAATAGATGTGCGGTATATTTTCACCATTGTTCACAAACTCACCTGACTGGTTTACATGTCTATTTATTAGAAGGATGCAACCTAACCTTCCTCTGTGAAGATACAACACATGCATTGGGTAGTAACAATAATTCAATTATTATTATTATGCTCTGAACAAGCGAAGAGGAAGTAAAGGACGGTAAACAAAATATGAAAAGAAGGATTAAAATACATAGAAATAAAACAAACTCAACAAATCGCTGTCAGAGTGACTTTGGAAAAAAAACCTTAACTGAGAAAGATCCTATAGGTTATTTTTAGTTAAGTGATCTTCACTAAGTGTCTCTTACAGCAAGAAATCAAAGAGGCTCACTGAGTTAATATACTACAGACTTCACTCAAATAATAATCTTATTGAATACTTGTGTTCATTTACTAATTTTACTATAAAACATATGAATAGACACATTCTTAAGATGTTCACATTCAGGGCTTTGAACGTCTTGTCGAAACATGGATGTATCCTTAAAAACAGAATACAATTTACTGCATACTTATAAGAGTGTAATCTTACCTATGTACTTCCAGAGTGAATGGTGAGTGGTGCCATCTTGTGGACATTGTCATTAACAGCAGTACAGTTCATGCTTCATTTATTGTCAATTAATTATCTGAATGAATAAATGGAAACATATTGTCTTAAAATGTACAATAACTACTTGGGCTATATGTAATATACAGAAAAAAGAACTCTTTAACAACAGAACAGGAACAAAACACAACTGTGACCTCTGTGCAGCACACACAGACCAGTCAGTCAATTTCTGGGGAGTAGCTACCTTGTGCTAGTTATATTAAAGTTCATGTTTGACTATTGGCTGTGTCTAACCTGTCTAAAATGAGCCGAATCCCCAGGTACATGTTTAACCGGACGGTAACTAAGACAGTAACAACACTTCAGCCTGAACTCACTCTGGGGCCTGTCTTCATGGACCTGTAGCATAACACCCTGACACTAAGAATGCACATACTGTCCCTCCTCTGTCTTTCAATGTAGTCAAACTTGTTGAGGAAAAACAATAAGTTTAACGTTACAGAAATAAAAGCTTAATTACTCACCCTCCTAATTGTTGACGTAACTTCACAAGTACAACTTGAAACATTTATTTTGAAAGATGTTCTTTAACTTCCGGTCCACCGGACTGCTTTTCTTCATTCTTCAATACAAAATGGAAAGTTTAATGAAGTTGTTATCAAAAACCAAAATCGGACCGTTTTCTTAATTAGGTCTTCTTGTTATCCGTCTTTTGATTCAGACAACAAAAACGGGAAAACGGCTTTGGTTTCCCGTTTTTTCGTTTTAAATCAATAGGCGCTTTCACACCGGAGTACTTTTCCCTTTTAGTTCCGATAGTTCCTGGGATTTTGCGTTCACACCAAAAAGAGAACTAAGTTCATGAGAACTTTTCCCCCCTTTTCAGTCCCTGCTAGAGAGGTGGTACTTTCCTGGGGAGAAAAAAGTTCCAATTTCTGATTGGCTGGGCGAATTGCAAACCACGCCCCGTAAAACTCTGAAAAGTTTTGTGAAGCCGCCATTGTATTTGCTGGCATTAGCATTATTAGCATTAGCATTAGCCCAGCGCACCAACGGAGAGAGACTAACTTATGGCAACACACACAAAAAACATGGGAGTGGTGGAGTGATGAGGAGGTGTCGGTGTTCTGGAGATTTACTCGGAAGGCTTCAGTAGAAGCTGCTGGGACTCCCAGCAGCTTCTACTGAAGCCAGTCCCCAGCTCCGGGGACTTCCGGCCGGGGACTTCGGGTGGCAGTATACGCCATGAAGTGGTTTGCGGCCTGCCAGTAAACCCAAAGCAGAAGAAGAAGAAGAAGAAGAAGTGACGTCAGCGGCTTCATTTGCGTAATCTTCCCTCAGGGACTTATTCCGGTGTGAACGCGATCTGCTCTTTAGTTCCATGGGGGAACTAAGTGCTGGGAACTAAGTGCTGGGAAATAAGTACGGCAAAGTACTTGGTGTGAAAGCGGCTAATAACAAAAAAACGAAAAAAGGCTGGTATTTTCGTTTTTTGGCTTTTGGTTTAAACTAAAAATCAAACTGAGAAAACGTACACGGACCATAATCCTATCCGTGACATATGGATCTTAACAAATATCTGCTATATCAGATACCTGTACTGTGGTGTCCCACAGTGGCTTACAATTGGTCTTCTTAGTTTTGAGAAATTCTAATCCCAAAACGTTCTTGTTTATGCACGATTATTGCTATTTACTGATCGGAAAGTTGAGTGACATTGTCATAGCTAACATAATAATTCTTGTTACTGCCACAACATCGTGTTTTGTGAGGTCACAGAGACTTTTGGCCTCTTGACCACAATCACAAGGTCAAAAATGTGACAGAAATGGATTCATCCTTGAGTCCAAGTGGAAGATTGTGCAAGACTTTAATGAATTCCTCACGTTCTCCTGAGATATAGCATTCACAGGAATGAAATAGCTGGATGGACAGACTCATAAGAATAGAGACAACAAAGAGATAATGTTTTTGACTTGTTGGCTGTTTCAGAAAAAATCAACTATGTGACTGAAATTCAAATAATTTTGACACACTTGTAATATGAGGGGCTCAAATACAGCCAGAATGTTCTCTTAAAGCTGTTTGACATATGGTAACAAGCAATATCCGAACAAAAATATAAAAAATATAAACATTCAATAGTTATCATTAGTGCATATTTTGGAATGGTACCTTTCTTTCCGTGTGTCAGACAGTCAACAAGGAAGTGTGTTCAACTTTTTTCCCTGTTACATGTAAATTATATTCTTTCCATCAATGGATCCTATATCCACCATGATAGACGTCTTTGACATCTGAATTTTAATATTCAAATGTTTGCCCAAAGCTGACTCAAAGAGAGCA